TAATAAAATGTTTAATCTATCAGTTGATTAAAAGATAACATAACTAAATTATTTTACTTAAATAAAAAATAAGATAGTATTTAATAATAAATTTTATCTAAATTAATGAGGTAGATAAGTTTGACAAAGTAATTGGATAAATTATTAACTTTTCCTCTTAACGTATTTGTTACATAATTTTACTTTATAAAAATTCTTATAAAATTAAATAATGCAACTTGCATTTGACGAATAAAGTCTTTTGAGTCTGTTTGAATTTTCGTAATAAGAAAGTTAAGTTTGCAATTATGTTGTAATTCTTGTAATATTTGTTCCAAAGGGAAATTTCTAAATTTTGTATAACAATCTCTTTAAAAAATCCTTAACTAATCGAATTTTATCGAATATTTATAAACAAATTATTTAAGTATAACTAATAAAAATTGTTAATATATTATTTAATATCTAAATAAGTAATTAAAATACTATTAAATATCCGAAATTTACTGAAAGCTATCAAGAAAAATAAACTAGTTCGTGCATTTTACGTGGAGTTGAATGGCTGTCATAACTATACCAACTGTATATATCTAACAATTCTGGCAAAACGTCATTGTATTCACGCTTTCTACGAACCGCATTTATAAGAGTTTGAAAACGACAGTCCCCGCGTGTGAATTCGTCTTTGTTGCCGCTATAAATCACGAGTCTTGTCGCGAGTCAGAGTTACGACCGAGACCGATCGTCGTCAGCTACCGGATAGCCGGTGGCATTCCTGTGGAGATCGATTTGGGGAGAACATAAAGCAAGAAAGCTGGATTGTTTTCTCTTGGCAAACTCATTCTCTTTCTCTCTTACCCCCTCCGCGTTATACGAACAACTACGCGAAAATGGCGTGAGGCGTGGCTGATAATAATGTGATGAATAGAGTGTGTGAAAGATCGTTAACAAGTCGAACCAGAGAACCGCTGTAGATCGTGCAAGATCGATCGATAGATCCTTCGACAGTCGTAACAGTTTCGGAACGCAGATCCGCGAGCAAAGTATTTCATTTTGAATGCCTGTGAAGAATTAAAAAGAATATATTAATTTTTGAGATTAAGAATATTAATTGAATAAATATCTAGTGGATTTGTTAATTATTATGATTAAGACAGGAATAGTTTAATTATACATATTTCCGACCGCGAAATTGAAAAATTTTTTTTTAATTGAAAATTTTAGAATAGAGCTGCTAAATATATTTCTATACAGAAATTAATTTTTCCAAAAATAGATTTTTTTTAATCAAATTTTTTTTAATTATACATTTTTGGTTGATATTGCAATCGAATATTTTCGTGAAAAATTTATATATATTATAAAAATAAATTTATATATAT